CCGCCCTGTTAAAATTTGCTAACCTACATCATGTCATGATTACAAGCATATGTATTATGTAATTTGAGACAAAAAAGGACCTTGATTTTTGCAGACTCTTATTTTTAAAACCTTTTTTTTGGTCGAAAATCAATTTTTTCTAGGTTTTGGCTGTCATATTGCATCCACCATCTTAAATTTTCAAAAAGGCCCAATTGATTTTTAAAGTCTACGGTTATACAAATAATTTGAGCCCTGACAGATTTTTTTGGTCGCTCCAAATTTTGGCCATACGAGTGTTACGGTTGACGTGGAACGTTCCATACATATAAATATTTAAATAACATGTATGTATGTATGTATAATTAAATACAATAGAAAATAACCAAATAAAAAAATTGTGCACGTTTACACATAAATAATATTGCTTTTAACCATTTTGAATTTGTTAATTTTTTATAAATTTTTAGCTACTTGGCTTAAAAATCTCAAAAAAAAAGTTTTTATTCAACTGTTAAGGTTCTGCGATTTCTATAAGTTTTTTCATATGACATGACACCATATTAGGTCGGCCAATTGGAATTTACTAATTCTGATAACAGATTCATGATAAACAACCCTAAGAACCCCCATATGCCAATTTATAGATCATTATAAGTTATAGATCATCATAAAATTCGTAATCAGCGACCCCGAAAACCCCCGAGTAAGAAATTTTAAATCAATTACTTCATTTTTTGACTTTAGGCCGCACAAACCGGCCTTTGGCCGCTCTGTGCGTTACTCAAGATTATTCGCCAACATTTTAAAGTTTTTATTTACTCCTTACCCAGCTCTCGGTTCGTTATGTACCTCTGTACAAATTTACACGTTTATTTTATGCTTGAGAGCCAAATGAGAAGTTCAACAATAAGACATAAGCGTTTTTTTGACCAATTTATTTACTTCTATATTAAAGTGGTAATGTACATATTTTTGTAGATCAATTACCGAAGCATTAGTTTATAACATTATCGTTAACTACTAGATATCGCGGGGTACTTATTGGCCAATGATTGAATTAATCAAGCATTAATTCATAACACAAGCACAAATTTCCAGGTACCGTGGACCGCTTACTGACTAATAATTATGGTGGCCGGTAAGTACCCCATGTTAATTGGTGATAAGCGCTTCTGTTATCAACTAATGCTTTAATAATCATTAAAATGCTCAGTAAGCGCCCCATTATACCCAATGATTTACGATGATGCTGAAAATTACTGCTTTACACACACACACACACACACACACACACACACACACACACACACACACAAATGTAGTATCAACTTAAAATCAGAAAAATAAAAATTAGAGGCTCTTTCTTACATTCAGTTTGACTTAAAATCAGAAAAATAAAAATTAGAGGCTCTTTCTTGTATTCAGTTTGAAAAGGCTCTTTTATGCCTATTACTCTAAAAAGACATTATTATACTAACCTGAAAAATTATTTAGAGCCAAAAATTGTGAGAACTAAAAAATTTTTTTAACTACAAATTCATGTATTGATAAAAACCGAGCCTAGGTCTATTTCTGCTAGCAAAAGCTGCGATAAAGAGTTAAGGATGTAGAGGATGTCGTGATATTTTATTTACTTAAGAAATTTAGAAAAAAAATTTGTTTAAGTATGTTTTAGTATTGTTAACAACATATCGAAATTTTAAAGGGCCTAGCTTTACCGTTTTTGAGAAATAAAATCGCAAAGTTGGCCGCTTACACACATGCTCTTATGAAGGACTTGTCGGAAAAAGCACGTTTTTACTCATAACTCTTGAAATTTTTTTAAGAATGTTCAAAAAAACGAGTATATTAAGCTTTAGTATAGTTGAAATAAGTATACCAAAATTGGGGAAGCCTAGATTCACCGTTTTTAAAATATAACAGTTTGAAGTCCAATTACAATATTACTAGAATACCTATGTAGTGGTACAGTCTGAGACAAAAGTTAGGTTAATTTGTTGCTAAAACGTTTGTCTTTGATTTCCTGGGCATTTTTCTGTTCTATGCATCTAATTTTTAAATTATTCTCGTGTTTCGATAAGAATAATCATAACAAAGACATTTTTAATACGAAAATTCTATTTTGAAATTGACTGTACCACGACAACCCCCTTAAAATAGTATTATTATATACATTTCTAGTGCAAAATCGTTAAAAACCTACAGTTTTCTGAAAAAATCGACCAATTATATATTCTAGTCTTTCATTTTTTTCTTGGAATCATGAAGTATTTAAATTAGTTTCCTGTATTTATGTGCCGACTTTTTTATGATAAACAAATTGAGCTATGATTCTCGAAAATTAATGTATAAAACTATTAAAAAAAATATTTAAGGTTTCGTTTCGAAGTTAAGCTACTTGTCGTAAAAGTTCCGCGAGATTTTTTATAAAAGCAACCAGTGTATCACACGGTTGAAGATATCGATAATACGACTGTTACTATAACTACAAAAAAAATTAGCTGCTTTGCGTTGTATGGCTAGACATGTTTTTTGATGGCCTATCTTTTCAACTACAAACAATCGGATAAATTTATGTAAATCATTGTGTGTTGCATAACACGTAAAATTAATAAACTGATTGTGAGGGTTGAAAGTGTATTTGAAATTGTGAAACTCTTATATTTTTTAAAGTAATTGATCTATAAAAATATATATAGTGCCAGCTTCAAAAAAGAGAAAAAAAATTTTTAATAACTGTATGTGATTTACGCGCTGTCAAAGGATTTTGGAAACAATTTCTATATAATTACAATAACAATTTGGTGGAGGTAAAAAAGTTAATTGTTTCATTATAGTTCAACTTTTTTTTTTAAATCCATACTTCAAGTTACGAGTGGTTAAAACTAGTATGTGTCGAATAAAAAAAAGATTTATTCAGTCTCTATAAGACTCTTCAATCTAACATACGCACTATTTATAAAGACTAAAGAATCTACTTTAATGTTTGTACATATGTCTGGTACAAATTTTGTCAATGTAATAACCACAAGGTATTAATAAGGAGTATAAATATAATTTAAAAATCACAGTATATGTATATAGATAAACATTCACACATCCCTAGATTTAAGTTGTACTTTACTGGTAATAATCATATTTGATACAATCTTAGTAAAAGTATGAGTTTTCTTCTTTCTCCGGCTTTTTTTTTGTGGTAAATAAAATGGTGACGGCACACATTCTTAAACAAAGTACAAAGAAAAGAAATAAAAACAAAATGATAAATTCGATTTAAAAAAAAAAAAAAAAAAATCTACCACGATGTGGATTTGAACCCTAAAGTGCAAAACGATCCATGAAGCAGCATAAGCATAACTATCTCAGCTATCCGAAGGACAGGTATTCTTCTTTCAAAGTCACATATGTTCATAGATATCCTCCGGAGCTTGTCCTACAGTTCACAGCAGTTAGGATGTGTAAAATTTATAAATTAGTGGTTAAAACTGTACTAAAAACCTTAAAAAATAGTTGAAGCTGTATATTTTTTAAAAACGTTAATAGATTTGCGAATGTTAAAAGTACGGGAGAATTAAAAAATAATGTATTGAAATCAAAGTCTGTGCATATAGTTAATGAGCATTTAGTTCCACGATTTAATTAAATAAGATTTATAGATAACATTGAAGCAAGAGCGAGGGAAAGTCAGTTAAATATGCATAGCATATACTTGGTTGCAGAGTCAAAAGAGAAAAACTCGTGTCATCGCTTGTTTTGGCTGTGCGCTCAGCTATACAGCTATATAGTCGACATTTCCACTCCTCTCCTCGTAGGTGCACATTCGGTATACCCCTTCCACGCCTCTCTAAAATACGCGCCTATATGGACATTTTCATGCAAATCCACTCCTTTCCTCGTAGACATACACTCCTACCATGCTTTTCAAATAAAAAAAAAATATGCACCTAGTTTGGCACTTGGCCACGACGGAGCCCATGAACCAGTGGAAACAAGTCGTCATACTCCGTAGCGTGGCAGTCAGCAATGTCCTTACTTATCTCTGGCACAAGCTTACAAATAAGGACCGCATTATAATGTACAATTATTTTTATGCGCACAATGTTTGTGCCTCATACAACGTACCTTTTGTACCCATCGTATTAAAATTAATTATTGACTATGAACAAAACTTCTCTAATTTCGGCACAAATACTGTACACGATATTTTGACGGCTAAACTTTGTACTCAACAAAATTGTACATAATCCTTGTGTGCACTGGACATAGTCTGCCGATTTCTTGCAAAGATAGATTTTTAAAATTATTTACGCTCTTATAAATAATTTAATCCCAAAGAACTCATAAAGATGTTTTCCAAATAGAACTTACATTAACTACCGAAACACTTTTACCTATCATGACGTGGCAAATTCGAAATACATCCGGACACGTCACAGAGTTCTTGTCTTCTATTTTAAAAAAAATATCCAATCAATGCTTGACATCGATTATCCAGATACTGCAGGTTGTTTATCGGAACAGTACTGATTCTCATAAGACTGCACGTTAAAAGTTCAATAATAAAATGATCAATATCTCTCTTTATAATCCATAAAGGGACTTGAAATTTGAATCGAAGGTTTTTCATATACTAATTAATCTCTGTTTAAAGTATTGTCAATATATTGACGTTAATTCTTTTAGCGAGTGAACTCTCTTAATGCACAAAAAAAGCGCATACGTTAAGTTCACGTAATTATAATTAAATTTCTCATTATTCAAAGAATTGCAAAATATTGAAAAATTTTCCTGCTACTGAGTGAAAAAAACATTCTTGGATTGACCGTACTAGTGAGAACATAGTTTTTTTTTTAATTCACCTTATGCAGTGCATACTTTCTTTTTTACTTATGTCACTAAATTCTGCGACTTGGAGAGTTTCAACCACAAACTTCCGACGTATTAATAATAACAAATAATTTTCAACTTGAGTATTTTGTAACATATGGTATAGGGATCAATAACATACAAAAAAACTGTTAAGTACATAAAACGATAAGATTTTTACTGGATGATTTAAATTGTTTACAATACATTTACAATTTGCACTGTAAATTTAACTTTTTTTAATAATAAATAGGTGTCGAACTTTAGTAATTGTGAGAATCAGTAAGTATATACCTATTTATAGTGTAATAAATATGTAGATAATAGGATTATTTCATATGCCATTATCTAAATCAAATAGGACAATTATAGCACACCATATTTCACCACTACATACACTATACATTTTACAATAAAATATGTAGTAATGGTAGTTATAGTTATTATTAATATCAAGATTTTTCCTTAAAATATAAATTAGCGTAAATCAGGATTATCATTGATTTGTTTTTTGATACGCAGTAACATGGTAGTAAACCATTGATCTAATCTTGATACGGTGTCAAACTCCTTCACTGCTTCAGTAAAACTATCTAGGTTTTGTTCTTCTAACTGTTCGATCAACATCTAAAAAAATCGTTTCACTTACTTAACATCAGGTTAAAAAAAATTAATGTCAAAAATTATTTTTATAATACCTTAATGAATTTACATTCTCTAGCATCTTGAAAAGAGGGACATTGTTCTTGGTAGCGTTCGATTGCATGCTGAGCATTAAGGACATCAACGCATAAATGACATAATGCGGCTCTTAAATAATATTCTTTTGCACTATATTTTAGCAAAGAGCTTTCTAATGATGCAATTGCCACCTGCAATAAATAAATTTAACCAAATGTAAAATAATGGAAATAGGTTTGTATTTGCAATGCTTGTTTTAAATTCTTATTGTACATTTCATATTTTCCTACTTTGCAACAAACTGAAAATAACACTCTTTTACTTGCAATAAACTCATAAACTTAGGAAAAATTTAAGATTCTTTAAGGTATTGATACTGTTAAGTACAAATCAAAGATAAATTTTAACTTAACCTTACAAAAACTGCTAAAACTCAAATAAAATATAAGGCTTTTCTGCATTTTGGCTGAATTCCATCAATTAAGACCAAAGTTAACTTTAAATGGTCGAACAACTACCTTTATTACCATCTTTAAGATACCTTAAATCACCCTAAATGCGAATGACGTTCGCAACGGATCCATTACGTATGGTACTGCATGCGTTGCATACTCTCTCTTTATACCTATACCATGGGATAAAAGCGAGCACTGCAATGTCTTATGTGAATCTTTTAAAAAATTAGTAGCTCTTGGAAGGCAAGAATATCAGAAATATTTGTTAGTCCAGTGGCTCAAAGGTTTATAAATCCATTTTTGACCAATTCTGTAAATGTATTAAGTCTTGCACAAGGAACACTGCACTGACACAAGGGCAGAAATTGATAGGTATATAATGATATTGGAAAAAATACAACAGAGCTTACAGCTGGGCAGTTAATGCACAATAAACAACAGTACTGTTATGGAATGCAAAGTAACTTTTATTTAATATCTACAAAGTGGGAATTTACACAAGTAAGCAGTATTATGACTATATACAGACTGCTTAGTTAAGAGAAAGTATGTGTGGTACGTCTACCAACACAGACACGTAAGCAGCTCACGTCTCGACTCTGGACTACTCGACAGACAACTATGGACTTACTATGCGATACTATATAGTGGATGTAGTGGGCCAAGTATAAAGGGTCCAGGTATCTTAGCCCCACTTAAAGTTACTACCACCACTGTTGCAATCCATTTACACATTTACATATATTTATTGTGTATGATATAAATTACAACACACCCCCTCAAAAAATAATTTGAATGATAACATTCTTATACAAAACCATAAAAAAAAATAACATACAATGGCTGTCATTCTTTTTTCTTTTCATTTCGATAAACACATTAAAACCAGACGGGTGGCACTCGGGGACTGCCACGGTAAAGCGATTGCACAGTATTTTTTATCAATTTGTGTAATTACAATTATTTATTCATTTTTTATTAATGCAGTTTTTTTTGTTTCATATTAATTTAAGTTACACTTTTTGAGCGTAGTGACCAATAAGAAAAGTTTTCACAACTCGTGAAATAGTCAAAGATGGTCAATTTAAACCACCAGAGAGAATGATCTATTAATATTTGATACGTCAATACTACAATAATAAGAAAATCGCAAAATCTAATATCATTAAAGATTTATTGTAAAAAATATGATTGAATGTTTCAAATCTTTTCTTGTTTCCTTACCAGTAACATCTTAATCGAATAGTTACAAATTGAAGATGTCACTCTTGTATGTAGTTTAGTGATAAAAAATAGTAAAAAATTAGTTAGTTTTACGAAATAATACTTCAGATTATAACACTGTGTTACGTGGGAAAACCGAAAGGTAAGGAGGTGCTTCGCGAGAATGATCTAAACCTTGGAACCTTAAAGACTTTTATTCAAGATACTTATTTATAAGGCAAAGACGCGTGTGTGTTTCCGATTAATTGCCCGATCTCCCCGAGTGTTCTCTTCTTACTTCCTGTCTGTCCGGGTCTTCTCTTCGTTCTCCTCGTCTGTCCGAGTCTTCTCTTCGTTCCCCCGATTTTGAAGCTTGCCGGGCCTTATATTACTTCGTTCCCCTCCCGTCAGTACCCTCTTGATAAGATAGCTTCGTGGTCAACAGGGGGCGTTAGTATGATATGCCTAGCATATCGTACGTAACACGTCCAAGGCCGCGACGTCGTCACCCTCGACGACGCTGGCTTTCTGATGTTTATGGTACTGAGCCTGTGGATTTGTTGCGAGTGTGTGTATGTGTGCTGTATTGTATTCTGTTGTTTGTGTTGTTTATGTAGTTTAGTATCCTACACTCATTCTTTCATTCTTTTAGAGAACCGGTGTTCCCTTTACATTAATATTTTTGTTCTCACAATCATTCAGTCTCCTCTCATCGTGTGCTGAGTGTACAACAATATTGTTTTTGTATGCGCTTTGCCTTACTTTACAACTATATATGAAATTGCCGCGAAGCGGGCTTCTGTTTACGACTACTTTACATTAAGTGTGGTTTTACAATGTGGTTTTTTTTTTTTTTTTTTTTTTTTTTTTTTTTTTTTTTTTTTTTTT